CGTTGCAATATTGGATTCATCGTGAATGAAGAGAAAGCAGAACGTGTGCGCCCCATGCTGCGTGGTTGATCTTACGTCGTTAAGTTCCAATGAGTTTTTACGTAAAAACACAAATAAAGCGGCCCTTTTCAGGGCCACCACACAATCCAAAAAGAGAACTACCATAACAAACACACTATTTAAATAAATCGAACGCGTTCGTTTTTGACAAATAAAACTTTATTGTTGACCCCGTTCTTGGCTAATAATCACCCTGGGCGTTTAACCGAGGATGTCCCCAACATGTAACTTTTGTGAAAACAAGGGGTGGGCGCTTGCCCAGGGAGGGGCGCGTGCCCGGGGTAATACGGTATATCAATATCCATGAAGTCCTGAAACTAGAATTCTATGTTGGTGGTTGAGAAGTGTTGCCATTGCAAGCAAACAGAGGAAACGTGACAATTTTTTAGACGTTCTTTGCTTACTGAATCAGTGGTAATTACTGGAGCTATGCTCAGCTTTAAATCATCAATGATACCTGGAGATCTCTCCCTGCATCAGGCGTATCGATCATTAGAAAATTTAATAACAATGCATGGAGAACTCCACTTACAAAATTGGTGTTTTACTGGTGACGTTCAGTGTGTAATCAGTGACAATACATGGAGGCCTGTCCAGGGCATGAGTCAACATATATCTATTTATATAGTGTCAGAGCGGTAAATTGCTTTGCTGTTTCCTTACATAGTATCAAAATTCATCGACAGGCATGTCCATACACTTCACCCTGTAGTATGTGATATGCAAACAGAGCTGTTTGACCACTTGGGTACGTCAACAAACGAACCCATATCTACTGATGATTGCTGCTAAATGAATTTGTATGTAACAGCGTTAGATGGCGATGTGTTAATCAAGTTTGTTTCTAAATCTGCGTTTTTGTTTTGTTCAAGGCTTCTGAGGCAACTCTGGTATCTTTATTTGAAGACACTAACTTGATAGCACTTCACACTGGCAGAGTCACCATCATGCAGAAAGACATGCAGTTGGCAAGGCGACTGTGGGGATATGGACGTGGATTATAAACTGTGATCACATAACGTATTATTATATGTATTTGTTTATAGTATGCGTATTTTGCATTAAGTAGTTTAATGATTATTAATTATTATCATCATGTCAGAACCTGAAATTTCTTTCAGGATTAATTTTTTATATAATATTGTTTTAATTTCCAATACTAAAAAGAGGTATGGGCATTTTTTTTCTTTCACATTTTAGAATCCATGTAAAGCTTAGCAATCAACACCCAGACAGAATTTATTTTTCAGTTATTTGCGTATTATTTATTATCATAATATATGCTCTATATTTGCTTATTCGGTAAAATAAAGAAAATTGTGGCTTATTATTACATGGATTTAAAAATGTGAAAATGCATTGTATGGCGCCCTAGTTAATTAATGAATACAGAGTTCATTATTTTTGATTATGTTGATCTATTATGTTTTCTGTTGTTTTTTTTATAAGATACTTTTCAGTAGTTGGTGTTATCAACCAATACTGCCAACTTTATTTGCGAGTTACTAATGGCAATTTGTTGGCCATATTTATTTACACTTAACACCCTCATCAGACAATGTTCTCTCAGGAGCATGTTTTAGATTATACTTTTAATGTCAAAGGTCAAAACATTAAAAGCATTTTCCTAGGGGAAAACACTGGTCTGTGATGCTTGTGATAAGTACAGTTCATGTTTTGTAAAGAAGTAAAGAAGCACATACCGTATATATATAATATATATATTTTTTTTTAACTGTTCATGTTTAATACCCCCCGGTACATTCGTATATCAATAAAAATTTGTTTTTTTCAGTTACGTATCGTAAGTAGTCTTGTTCCTTGTGTAACTCCACATTTGGTACGACTTGTTAATGTTCATTTTCGTCTGAAGCTAAACAAGTCTACCCAAATTTCTTGATTTTTGGAGGGCTCAAAATATTTGTGACCAAATTGATTTTCTATTTTGAGAAGTAAACTCTGAGGCTTTGCAAGGATTGGTTACTCACTACTGACAGTTTGGATATTATATATCAGTCACAAATTTAGACAATAATGACAATACAAAAATATACTGTGTTTTCATACAGTTTAATTAAAACTAACTACTGAGAATGTTACAGCCCGCTTGAAATTGATTTTTGCTGAAGTATTATTCAGTGAAAATAAACTTCATACAATATACAAATTTATAATTATCTGGTTACAAATCTCAGACGTCCATATGTATAACAAGTATCTGTGCAATCAAGCGAGTAGTTCATAAAAAAAATGCCAATTTTTTATTAGGAATAAGTCAAGAAATAATTGAATTTGTATCCTTAAAATGCAAAAACACCAAGTACCAATGAAATTGAGCCAATAATAGCATTTATTTTTAAAAAATTACAAATATTAACTAAAAATAAAGGCGTCAAAAAAGAACAAATCTGACAGAAATCACATCAATTATCAAGGTATCGGGGCAAAAGGTTTTCAGGAATAGCTGATAATGTTCAAGATAAGGTCAAAAATAACATTTTTTACTAAAACTGACAAAAATATTAATTGAAAAAATTGAAGCAATCTGGCCAGTAGTTTTCAAGAAGTCTAAAATGTAATTATTGATGGAGAACAGACATAAACAGCTCACAAAATGGCTATCGCTGTTTTGACCCCTTTTTCACAGACAAGTCAATTCTTTGGACCCCTAACTTTAAGATTTTGGCAAATTCATTCATTTCAACCATTTTGGGTCTATCTTTCAACTGGCTGGCACCCCCCCCCCCCCCCACGAGTTCTGAATAAATAGTGTTTGCATTATCTGGTTATAAACAAAAATGTGAAAGGCCAAAATTTGATGAAATGTTACCACTGTTCTACGTTTGAACAGAATTGGCCTGAAGATAACACACATAAAATGTAGATTTTTAGGTCATGTACCCATCAGCATTTTCCATTGGAGGAACAGGAAAGTGACAGGCTGAAAAATGTACCTTTATTCCTTTAAAAATGAACATTTTTTTGACTAAATTCATATTACAACCTCAAACAAATTTGTTTCACAAAGTTTGTGAATAGGAATGTAGAATTGTTGAACAAACATTTTAATTGGAATACATAAATCAACCCTAACCGCCATTGCCCGGGACAGCAAAACTGCTGGTTAAATTGCTGACGGGTTTGCTATGCATTACATGGTTAGATTAAACCATCTTGCAATGAAATTGTCATCATTTCAGTGTAGGTGAAATTCAACACTACAATAGTGCCATCCTGGATACATAATCCAATGCGCATTTTACTTTATTTAATTGCCAATCATTAAGCTGTGTTCATATAGGGATTCCATGCAACTTGTAAGAGACATTGTCAGGATCATCAACTCGTTAAATAGCGAGAGTTCTTGATATACATGTATGCCACGTACAAGAACAATTGTACCCGGTAGTCTCTATAGCCACTGTAAACCCCACTGAGTTATTCACTATTACAAAATTGCAAAACTCCAAAAATAAACAAGTCATTGAAAATGACAGTCCTCGTTAAATTTGTGAAAGTTCGCTTTGTGCACGTCACATTAAAGCGGAGGAGTTGTCGCGAGCGTGTCCTTGAAACTTGAGTTTCAAGTGACGTATACAACAGATTGTTTATTTACATCAAAACACGTGTTCCGTGTAGTAGTAATATGGCCAAAAATAAAAACAGCCGTTATTCGACCATCTTTGATCTGATTATGAAACACACATGTATGATGTATGTGTCAAATACGAATGAAAATGGTACATAAATTGTGGAAATTAGTAGTAAGGCCAAAAAGTCAGATGGCTGTCAATCGGCCATCCTTGACTAGATTTTGAAACAAATTGTCATGGACATGTATCCTAACATGTATAAAGTACATGTATGTGCCAAATTTGAATGAAAACTGACAGAGCACGTCCAAGATACCGCAAAAAAAAAAAATGATGCCTGCCAGTCGACCATCTTTGATCCAATTGCGAAATAAATCGTCATGGACATGTGTTATAATCTATGTACCAAGTTTGAATGACAACTGACAAAGCATGTCCAAAATACAACATTTTCAAAAAACAAGATGGCTGCCAGTCGGCCATTTTGATCGAATCGCTAAACCACTGCATGTGTATATGTTTCACATAAGGTACTAGGCACATGCAAAGAATGAACGGAATCGGTCCACAGGATTCTGAAATATGACTCTTGATGGACAACCGGACGGACAGACTCAGGAACTCACGAACGGTCGGGACATGTATCCTAACATGTATGATCTATGTACTAAATTTGAATGAAAACTGAAAAAAAGCATGTCCAAAATACGACATTTTAAAAAAACAAGATAGCTGCCAGTCGGCCATCTTTGATCAATTGCGAAATAAATCGTCATGGACATGTATCCTAACATGTATAATCTATGTACCAAGTTTGAATGAAAACTGACAAAGCATGTTCAAAATACAACATTTTCAAAAAACAAGATGGCTGCCTGTCGGCCATTTTGGATCGAATCGCTAAACCACTGCATGTGCATATGTCCCACATAAAGTACTAGGCACATGCAAAGAATGAACGGAATCAGTCCAAAGGATTCTGAGATATGACTCCGGACAAACGCACAAACGGAGACCGAATTATAAGTCCCCGTTTACGGACTTCATCCGAACGGGGACTAATGACTGTGAAATGTATTGAAAGTCACAGATTCTACTGTAAAATTACAATGCAACAGAGTGGATGCAACTTCTATCAATAGTACATCTACTAAGAATCTGAATTTTTAGTTCTCAATTGTTCAAAAAGATAGAGTTTGGCTTCTATTAGGGATGTTGCTTTTAATACAGATTTTACAGTAATGTAAATTGCTTTCAATTCTTATTTATATCTAATCTACAATTCTATTTAAATTAAATCTATTCAAACTAAATCCTTTGTAGCACTGAATTTGGCTTTAAACCAAATCAATCACGTTTCATTTGGAGAGTTGGAGCCGAAAGCTCAACCTTCTTCATTACCCAGAATGCAATGCCTTTTTCATAGTAAGACGCTTCATTGATGAAGGCAGGATACACAGTTTTGTCTCCCTGGTAACTGATCGTCTCCCCTTTGAATGTTACAAAAATGTTGTCTCCTGGTTTCAAAGGAGTCCAGTCTTTAAACTGCAAGGAAATTAAAATAACAAACAGTGATATATAAAATTATCCAGAATTTCTTTTGATTTGTGTTCTCGGGTAATACAAGGACTTACTTGAAACGCAGGATGTATCATCGCACAGATTTCACCGTCTTTGTCTCGTGGGAAGTCAATTTTATCGATGATATCATATGCCTCGATAGTACAAGCATTGAATACTTCACCTACGTTAGAAAGAAGTAAATTCGATGTTATACGACTCTTTATCTCAAGCACATTGTTCTAAATATGATGCATACTTTTGATAGACAGTTTTCATAACGCATCGTTTATCCGCATTTACTAGAAAAGTCACCAAATTCCAGTATACCTTCATTTCAGTACTACCGTAAAATCTGTATTAGAAGCCACATCCCTAATAGAAGTCGCATTCTTTTTGAATAATTGAGAATCAAAAATTCATCATTTTTCATATGTGTAGATACTCTAATAGAAGCGGCATTCCCTCTGCTGCATTGTACCATTTTAATACAGATTTACAGTACTACTACTTGGTCGCTATCATCAATTAACAGTGTTAAGTGCCACAGAATCTTACCAGACCTCAGCCAAAAATGACCATAATAGCAGCCTCATAAGTTGTAACAAATTAGGACAAATTATTTTTTTCCAGCTTTTACCTTCATTGAATTTTTCTATGAAATCCAGTGTGTGTAAAGTAATAGTCTCCATCTTCTGGTATACATCGGCTATAAGTGACCCGTGAGATTGCGGTCCTATTTCAATCCCTAAACCAAGGACAAGTACAAGTAGATTAAGACAGCATTTCAAAATGCTAGCAGTTCCCTTTAAAAAGAACTTACTAGCAGAAACTATGCGTGATAAACGATATGAACACATTTAATGTTAGAAGCAGTGTTTGAACAAGTTTGTAGGTTACCCGGGTTAGAGTGATCAACCCAATTAAGTTGTGGCTACATGTATCAAGCGTGAGGTGATCACCCCCAGTTAATTAAGGTAACCTTGGGTAAGGTGATAAACCCAATAAGTTGTGTTACCCAGTGTGAGGTAAACAACCCAATTTGTCATGGTTACACAGGCTAAGGTAAACAACCCAATTTGTCATGGTTACACAGGCTAAGGTAAACAACCCAATTTGTCATGGTTACCCAGGCTAAGGTAAACAACCCAATTTGTCATGGTTACACAGGGTAAGGTAAACAAGTCATGGATGACTGATGTGAAGTGAAGTTTCTGTTTCTGAGAACCAGCTGGGATCTTCAATTTCTTTAATTTGGAATTTCTGAAAATTGTAAAATGTGAAATTTTCTGATCAAATCTAAATCCACTCCATGCTTATACTCACCTATACCATATTTTGCCAGAGAGGAAACCGCTCCACAATTTTTTGATATTATGTAAACAGTTATTGGCATACTTTCCAAATTCATGTTCAGATAGTTAATCAGGTGAAGACTAAACATATCCTTTGCATCATACTTATTTAATATGATTGTGGTCATATTTGAGGTTGTATTATGTAGATCAAGTACAACGTCACAAGATCCAATGATTGCATTCAGTTCAGGTTTACGTTCAAAACGCTCATAGTTGCTATCGTCTGGACTTGAACTACAAGAAATTAGAAATCAGCATTATTTGTCATCCAATGCCATTAGTTCAAAACCTAAAGTTGACTAGTTAATAATTTGTATCAGACCCTTACAGCTTAATAAAGTTAATTAGATTAATAGTATTATTTAATAGTAATAATTATTTATTTCTTACATCTTTTTAAGGTTCATGAATAGCCCATTTTACTTGTACATATTAGTAATATCCCCTATTACATATCCATATTAATAATTCCCTATTTTTTTTATTAGTAATATTCCCATATCCCCATATTTTTATATGCCTATTAGTAATACCACATTTTTTTTCATAATTATATTATTAATACCCCCAGATTTTATATGTATATTAGTAAAACCTCCAGAAGAATGAGTTCTCCCTCTACCATTAATCAAAGAAAGCTTAGAAAGAACTCCCATGTGCTGAGAGTATTGTAACACATTAAATATAATTCGAAATTACTTGGCTGAAAACTAATTATGCAAATCAGAAAATTAATATAAACAGATTTTAGTGTAAAACTAATGAGGTTTGCGCAATGTAACAGAAAATCTATGTACCAAGTTTAATTGAAATGAGATTAGAACCAAAAAATTATCAATTATTACGCTAATTAGGGAATTAATATGAACAGATTTTTACCCCAAACTATTTAGGTTTGTACATTGTCCTAGAGCATCTTTGTACTAAGTTTCATTGAAATGGAATAATTAGTACTTTAGATATCAGTGTGAAAGCTTAAAATTGGTTAATTATGCAAATTAGGTAATTAATATGTACAGATTTTAACCAACAATTATCGAGGTCTGTCTATTGTCCT